GAATATGAATTTTCCTTTCAGCTCTTCAACCTTTCTGAACGACACCATGACATCACCCGCATGAATCCAAAGGTATCATTTTTTAATTACGACCTTGTGAAAATATGGCAACCCTTCCTGGACTATATGGAAACACTTCCATTGGGGTTGGTGGATGTGAGCTTGTAGATCAATGTAGCTATTGTCTCTCTGTAATGTACTGTTTGTATTGCTTTGTGTATATGTTGGTATTTCTTGTAATTTGTCATTGTTTTAATTTATTTTTTATTTTGGGGGGTGGGGAGGGTTGAATTACCTTTTGTTGTAGTACTTACTCTTGCTGTATTGTATTGTTCTGTTGTTAAATAATTGGGAAAAAAGTATTCAAAAAATAATATTAATACTGTATCAGTTTCTGAGACTAAGTATATTAATGTACTTTTCCTCACTATTTTCCCATGTGGTCCAGGTCCATGACTTTGGCTGGCCTGACTTCCATGCCCCTCCTCTGGACAAGATATGTGCCATGTGTAAGGCCATGGAGACCTGGCTGACCTCTGACCCCCAGCATGTGGTGGTCCTGCACTGCAAGGTCAGGGTTCAGGCTTCCGACTAGGTTTTAAAGTGTTGTTTAGTTTTTTAGGGGCTTTTGAAGGAAACACAAAAAACCAGACTGCTGGCTTCACATAGATGACTCGCATATTTCACTCACAGAGGCTCTTTGATCAGTGCAATATGTAATCTTTGTGTTTTTTCACTGTGAAGTGTTGAAATTGCTATGAGATCTTGTAGGGGGTGACATTCATATCTTTAAAACAATAATAATCAGTTTATTCCTCAAGGCTAAAAACAGTTGGTACTTCATGTTCTTTCGGCACTGATCTTTCTCCTTCAGGGCAACAAGGGCAAGACAGGAGTGATTACTGCAGCCTACATGCACTATAGCAAGATCTCTGCAGGGTGAGTGTCCTGTCCTGCATCCAAAGCCACAGTTTCCAGGCTGAGCATGGTTTAAGGCTGTAGAAGTGGAAACTGGCTTGTTCTTTGGCTCAACCCAGCTGCATTCATGTACTTCTGGCTCTTAGAGAGCCTGGTTTTAAGCCCATAATGGGAACGTTATGTACATGTTGTATAATTCTCTATATGAAGTGTGTATTCTTGTTGTGCAGTGTGTCGCTTTAATTCTGTGTTTTTGTGTTTGAGCAGGGCAGACCAGGCCCTCAGCACCCTGGCCATGAGGAAGTTCTGCGAGGATAAGGTATCTTCCTCCCTCCAACCATCACAAAACAGGTAAACACCATCTACATTTTGTCTATATTACTAACCAACAAGTACGCCCCTTATGAGTGCTGTGAAAGCTCTTGTAAATGTATGTCTCTCTCGCTCTTTCCCTCTTCCCTCCCTCCCTCCCTCATCCTTCCCTCCCTCCATCCCTCCCGCTCTCTCAGGTATACACTGAGTGTACAAAACATTAAGAACACCTGGTCTTTCCATGACATAGACTGACCAGGTGAATCCAGGTGAAAGCTATGATCCCTTATTGATGTCACTTGTTAAATCCACTTCAATCAGTGTAGATGAAGGGGAGGAGACAGGTTTAAGAAGGATTTCTAAACCTTGAGACAATTGAGACATGGATTGTGTATGTGTGCAATTCAGAGGTTGATTGGAAAAGACAGAAGATTGAAGTGCCTTTGAACGGGGTATGGTAGTAGGCGCACCAGTTTGGATCAAGAACTGCAACACTTCTGGGTTTTCACGCTCAACAGTTTTCTGTATGTATCAAGAATGGTCCACCACCCAAAGGATATCCAGCCAACTTGACACAACTGTGGGAAGCATTGGAGTCAACATGGGCCAGCATCCCTGTGGAACGCTTTTGACACCTTGTAGAGTCCATGCCCCGACAAATTGAAGCTGGGGGGGGAGGGGGGGGGGGGGGTGCATCTCAATATTAGGGAAGGTGTTCCTGTTTGGTATACTCAGTGTATATATTACTTCATGCATCTTTTTCACCAGGATTCAGTGTTTTTTTGTTGTTGTTTTTTATTGTTGCCTTTTGTGATGTAGCCTTTACTAATCACCCCACCCCTCCCTCTCTCTCTCCCTCTCTCTGTCTCTTTCCCTCTTTCCTTCCTTCACTCCCATTCTCTCTCTCTCAGGTATATCTACTACTTTGGGGGGCTCCTCTCTGGGGCGATCAAGATGAACAGCAGTCCGCTGTTCCTCCACCAGGTCCTCATCCCCACGCTTCCTAACTTCCAGGGCGAAGGAGGTGAGGCCGTGTGAGGGGCACCACAGACTTGTTTCCCCTGACTGACACTTGGTTCCTCCCATCCTCAGATTAGACCGCTACACTCGGGTGCTGAGTCTGTCTGAGTCTGTCTTTATAGTAGTGTGTGTGCGTGTGCGTGCATGCGCCAGGTGTGTGTGTGTGTCTGTGAATGCCTGTCTGTGCAGAAGGCTCTGAGATATGGCCCTTTGAATGATAGCAGTGTTTTCAGATGGTCAAATTCACCCTCCACACTACACACTGGGCTGTTTATCTTTAATTGTTTGACGGATAGGGACAGAGACAGTCAGCACATTCCACTGTGTAACACTGAACACCACCTCTCTTTATCGTTGCCCAGGTTACTTCCCCTTCCTGAAGCTCTACCAGTCCATGCAGCTGGTCTACACCTCAGGGATATAGTGAGTCTGCATCACTTCATGTCATACAGTATTATCAACCAACACCACTGACAGAAAATACTAATCTCTAACTTGGACAGGATGTGCCTTTAGGCCTACATTTCCTTGTCTGTGTGTACCTATCTGTTTGTATTCATATGTTGTTTGTTGTCTGTCCACAGTGACTTGCAGGGTTCTGGGGGCAGAAGACTATGTGTGACCATTGAGCCAGCACTGCTGCTGAAGGGAGACATCATGGTGAGTGAGACCACTAGACTAGTACACTATTTCTCAAGTGAAGTCACCGCCTTGCCACTGGCAGTCCATCAAGTAATATGATTCTCCTCTTCTTCATCTCACTGATCTGTTGTTCTGCTCCCTCCCCTACCTCTCTGTCTCCCCCTGCAGGTGAAGTGTTACCACAGACGGGCCCGGGGTGCAGAGAGGGACACGGTGTTCAGACTGCAGTTCCACACCTGCACCATCCACGGGACGCAGCTATGGTTTGGCAAGGGGGAGCTGGATGAGGCCTGTACTGGTACGAACTAGCGGGGGTTCTGGGAGAGGAAAGGGTCTCTCTGTACAGGGCCTGGGTGACTAACCAGAGGTATCTGTTTTGTTAGGTCGGTGGTTAAGAGAAGTGCTCAGTAGAAATGCCTGTATACAGCAGATGTGTCTAAATGAATCAATCCCTCAACAACACTGAATGTGTAGTGGTCCATTGCTTCCTTGTATATTGAACACAATGATTTCCTAATTCCCCTAATGTGATTACGTTCTGTGAAATGTTAAATTACTCCCAGCTGAAAAGTTGTGCCCTGTACTGAAAAAGCACCAGGAGATTATGTGGCAGTAATGATCCCAATCGGATTATTACTGACACAATTTAAAGGAAAACAGTAAAATGTATTTTCTCAGATGAACGATTCCCCTCGGATGCCACTGTGGAGTTTGTCTTCTCCACTGGACCAGAGAAGATGAAAGGTTTGTTTGAACTATGCATTTACAGTGTAACAGTGCCAGGGAACACAATAACAAGTTTGTATTGATGTGCTTGTCTAATAACATGAACTCTCTCCTCAGGGCGTGAGTACCAGAGGAATGACTCTGCTGTCACAGTGGACTACAACACAGCTGATCCAGTGGTGCGCCGGGACTCCTATGAGAACTTCAACCAGCGCTATCAAGACAGCCTCGATGGTACCGTACAGAGCAGTACAGAGGACCAGGGATACACTCTCAATAATACATTCAGCCCGCAGTTAATACTGTGCTGTCGATACTGTACTCTGAAGCTATGTTAAATCTCTGCTCTCTCTCCCCCTCTCAGACATAGCCCACACCAGGGGTCCAGTGGACGGAAGTCTGTACGCCCAGATAAAGAAGCATCGCTCAGCCCCAGGATCCGGCTCCCTGACCTCCACCAATGGGAGTCCAGTAGGCACCAGCGAGGAAAGGCCCAGTCAGAGCCAGCTGCTCTCCCCCAGCTCTGACTCTCTCACTCACTCCGGCCACTCCGGCCACTCGTCTGCCATCCCAGAGCGTCCAGAGGAGCTCCGAGGGCCCCCGCCCCCCACGCAGCAGGAGAGAGAGGACCTGGACCGACTGCTGGGGGGCATCGAGGGGGAGAGGGACGGCCTGGACAGAGAGAGGGAGACTGCCATCCTGGACGATGGGGACTCGTCCTCGTCCTCGCCCTCTGAGCGTACAGGTACCCTGAGACTGGGCCGCTCCTGTTCCTGCCGGCTGGGCTACCACTCCCAGCGCTGTGCTGAGCCCGACTGTGACCGACTGCACCGCATGTCCAGTGGCTACTGCCAGGACAGAGCCCCGGGCACCAACGGCCATCCTGGGTCACCGCCCTTGGCTAACCCTGCCACCGTCCCCTCACACATAGACCTGTGCCAGAACTACAGCCCCCACCCTCACCCTCATCAGGCCCTGCCTCCCCCTGACCTGGTATGGGATCGCCAGCAGGGCCCTCCACACTACCTGCACCGTGAGGGACCCTCTCGTCACCCCTCTCATCACCCTTCTCTGTACCCCTATCCATCCCAGGACCTGTCCTCTCACGCCCACTCCCACCCTCACACCCTTCATCCTGGGCGCCTGCTCTGTAGAAGTGATGACTATGGTCCGTACCACCACCCTCCCTCACACACCCACCACCACCCTCACCACCCCAAGTCCTCCGGGTCCTACCAAGACATGCTGCTGCTGGACGGCCTGCCACCCCCTGGCTGCCCCTGCCGGGACTGCCTCATCAGGAGGGAGGACTCAGCCTTCCACGGCCTGCGGCTGGAGCGAGGAGAGAGCTTCCACTGGGACAGAGAGGCAGAACTACAGCATCGGGAAGCAGGGCTGAGGAGAGGAAAGGAGTCTGAGCTGCCTAGAGGGGCAGAGATGCACTGGGAGAGGGAGGCAGCAGGACTAAGAAGAGGAAGGGAGATGTCACTGCACTGGGAGAGGGACAGGGAGGCAGAGCTCCAATGGGAGAGGGAGAGAGAGGCCGACTATTGGCACCGGAGGGCCTACGGGCCTCAGGGCCACGAGCTACCTGCTTTCACCTTTGACCCCCTGCCGTCTGGCCACCCTGCGTACCCGGAGCCGTCTCGCTCCCACGGCCACTCCCACATGGACCTGAAGTACAGCAACAGCAGCAGCAGTGGCTACCAGACCCCGCACCAGGCCTGCCTCTGCTCCCCCTACCAGCCCTCCCCCTCTGAGAGCAGGGGCTACGCCTCAGGCTACCAGTCTGAGTCCACCTCCCCTCTGCCCCCTCCCTCCACCCTGTCAGGCCCCTGTAGCCACACCAGAGGGCCAGCAGACCACCACCCCGAAGCCCACCCTCAGCAGTACCCCTCCGAGAGACAGACAGGTGAGACAACTCCCACTGGTTTATTTATTAGCTACAACATATAAGATGATTTCATGAAATACATTTAAACCAATGTAGGAAATAATTATTCAAATGTCAGTTCTGTCACATAAAGTAATTCTCTCTGTTCTCTGTCTTCCATGAGATGGAAGAGGGATGAGTGAGAACGTGAGTTGGCGGGACTACATCTCCCAGGGTTCCTTCAAGAGGATGCATCCTTCAAGAGATGTCCCGTGTTCCACGCCCTCTGACCTCTCTGGGCCGCCCACCCCTGTTCTCACCAGCAGCCCTCTGTGCACAGAAGAAAGGTGCCTATTCTGTTGTCTTCTTTTTAACATCTGCAAGTCACATATCAGTCTTGTGTGTAGATGAAATAAACATTCCAACATTACATGTAAGAATATATTGCATACCTCTTTAATATTACTTTCTGTTTGTTTCAGCCTCAGTCTAGGTGTGCAAGATTATGAAGTTCGATCGACTGACATAGTCAACAGTGACTGTGAGTCTGCCCAGTCTCAGGATAGGCCCAGCAGTGCTGCTGCTCAGGGGTCGCAGATCAACCAGCAACACATCCCTGACCCTTTACAGTCTACATCCGTGACACCCACACCTTCCCCCACCCAACCCAACAGCCACTGCACCACACCGACAGCAACACAACCACTCTCACCCCACCAGCCCCGGAACTACAGTACTACACCTTCACCCCACCAGCCCCAGAACTACAGCACTACATCTTCACCCCACCAGCCCCAGAACCACAGTACTACACCTTCACCCCACCAGCCCCAGAACTACAGTACTACACCTTCACCCCACCAGTCCCAGAACCACAGTACTACACCTTCACCCCACCAGTCCCAGAACCACAGTACTACACCTTCACCCCACCAGTCCCAGAACCACAGTACTACACCTTCACCCCACCAGCCCCAGAACTACAGCACTACACCTTCACCCCACCAGCCCCAGAACTACAGCACTACACCTTCACCCCACCAGCCCCAGAACTACAGCACTACACCTTCACCCCACCAGCCCCAGAACTACAGCACTACTTCTTCACCCCACCAGCCCCAGAACTACAGCACTACTTCTTCACCCCACCAGCCCCAGAACTACAGCACTACACCTTCACCCCACCAGCCCCAGAACTACAGTACTACACCTTCACCCCACCAGCCCCAAAACCACAATACTACACCTTCAACCCACCCGCCCCTAAACCACAATACTACACCTTCACCCTCACCTACAACCAGCCAGCCCAGCAACCACTGCCACCCCACTACACCCACTCAGACCCCCACTGAGAAAGCTACCCCAACTGGTCCAAAGACCACCCTTCCTACAGAGACTGCTGTACTGCCTCCTGTTGCCCAGCCCCAGCCCCAGTCCCAGTCCCCCAACTCCAACCCTGTACCTGGTTCACCAGGGCCCATCCCAGCCCAGGGCCAGCTGAACGGAGCATGTCCCCCCAGGAAGCTGACCCCAGAGGTCCCTAAATCCAGCTCCACCCCCACCTCGGCCCCTTCCTCCCCCCATCCTCCCATCAGCAGTCTGGAGGGCTCCCCCTCCTCAGAGCCTCCTGTGCCCGGCTTCGCCACCCTGGGCCGGAGGTTGATGCTGGGCACTGAGCCCCCAGGATCCCTGCAGCACTACCCTGGCATGGAGGGCAGCACCAGCGGGCAATCGCCAGCCCCTGAGGGACACACCACCCCCACATTCCCCACCTTTGCCACAGGCTGCTGTCCCCAATATGTCCCACATGTGCCATACTCGGGCTACACTGCTGTCACCATCCCCCAGCGCCCACTCCCAGAGAAACGAGTGCAGTCTGCCCAGCCAGGGTCGCCCAATTGCGGGGTGAGGACCCTGAGGCCAACCCCCTCACAGCACCATGTGACCTTCTCTCCAACGGTGGGGGAGATGGCGCCCCCTGCAGGCCAAGGAGAGGGAGCGCTCTCTCTGGAGGGGCAGATGGCAGGCAGAGTCAGTGTTAAGTTTGTCCAGGACAGCTCACGCTTCTGGTACAAGCCTGGCATCTCCAGGGACCAAGGTAACTTCAGTTACTGTTTTACTTTTCATAAAGAAAGCTGACTGTTATGTAATATGCATGAACATTATTTTATGTCAATTTTCTCTTTTCCTGTAGCCATAGCTGCGCTGAAGGAGAGAGAACCAGGGGCGTTTCTTATCCGGGACAGCAACTCCTTCCAGGGAGCCTATGGCCTGGCGCTGAAGGTGGCCACTCCGCCCGCTAACCTCAACAACCACAGCAGCAAAGGTATGACTCAACAACTGCCCCTGGCCTTCATCTCAACAACCTATATCTCCTCGACACAAAGCACTTCAATTTCTGCTAGCTAATCATGTTCTTCCCGTAACACACACATAGTGGTCGATCCATTGGAGCAGCTGGTGCGACACTTCCTGATTGAGACTGGCCCCCGTGGAGTGAATATCAAAGGGTGTCAGAATGAGCCCCATTTTGGTGAGCTGTTCATAAAGAATCGTCTACTCTCAGTTTTGGGCTACATTGTTAGTTTTCAGTCATTTAAAGCGATATGTTCTATAGTTGCTCTGCCCAATGGAGCATTTAGCCTAATTGTGTGTGTGTGTGTGTGTGTGTGTGGTGTGTGTGTGTGTGTGTGTGTGTGTGTGTGTGTGTGTGTGTGTGTGTGTGTGTGTGTGTGTGTGTGTGTGTTCCACAGGGAGTTTGTCTGCATTAGTATACCAGCACTCCATCACTCCCATCTCCCTGCCTTGTTCCCTACGGATCCCAGAGAAAGGTCAGCAGTAACTCAACATCCCAACAACCCATTATGGACTGTAATGAGTTAGCCTGCTGAAGTCATTGTCATGGGAACCAGTCCACACCTAAGTAAAAAATAAGCTGTTTGATAACCATTGATGCTAAGTACCCTCTCACAATCAAATCACTAGACAATTTGTGCTGAAAATGCATAGAATGACTGACTTCTGGCCTGGTGGGAACATTTCCAGCCATGTCCTCCAGATGGAGACAGAGTATATATTGACTCAGATGCCTTTATCTCTTGTTTACATCCCCATGTTGTAGATCCCATTGGAGAAATGCAGGAGCTGCAGTCGACTTCCAGTAACATGAGCACAGCTTCAGACCTGCTCAAACAGGGTGCAGGTGAGTCCCGTGAATCAGTTATCATATAATGTTCAATCACAAATGGCTGCATTCCTGCTGTAGTTGGTGAGAGACCCTGTTGTGTGTGACATCTATGATCACCACAGTGCTCTAAAGTGATCCGCATGGTTCCATCCCTGTTTGTCTGACCCCTCTCTTGTCCAGCCTGACATGTGTTCTATCTGAACTCTGTGGACACCGAGTCACTGTCCCTCTCCTGTCCTGTCCTGTCTAGCCTGTAACGTGCTCTATCTGAACTCTGTGGACACTGAGTCACTGTCCCTCTCCTGCCCTGTCCTATCTAGCCTGTAACGTGTTCTACCTGAACTCTGTGGACACTGAGTCACTGTCCCTCTCCTGTCCTGTCCTGTCTAGCCTGTAACGTGCTCTACCTGAACTCTGTGGACACCGAGTCACTGTCCCTCTCCTGTCCCGTCCTGTCTAGCCTGTAACGTGTTCTACCTGAACTCTGTGGACACTGAGTCACTGACCGGACCCCAGGCCATCTCTAAGGCAACCGGAGCCACCCTGGCACAGAACCCCCGGGCAGCAGCCACAGTGGTCCACTTCAAAGTGTCCTCACAGGGCATCACACTGACCGACAGCCAGCGCAGGTAACATGACCAATGACCTGTTCATATGGACTAATTGTCTGAGGCCCATCACACATGTACAGTATATCATTAGCGATCAGTAAAGAAAACCGGAAGAAAGGTTGCATGGATGAATTGTGGTAGATTAGTGGAGATGATTGTGATATCAATGGTCCCACTGAATAGTCTGCCTGCCTGCCTGTCTGTCTATAGGGTGTTCTTCAGGAGACACTACCCAGTCAACAGTGTGACCTTCAGCAGCATCGACCCCCAGGACAGGAGGTGGGTGCTGGAGCCAGACAGCACAGAACACTACCTAATCACAACCACACAGTGATGGAAAAAGTACCCAATTGTCATACTTGAGAAAAAGTAAAGATACCTTAATAGAAAATGACTGAAGTAAAAGTGAAAGTCACCCAGTAAAATATTACTTGAGTAAAGGTCTAAAAGTATTTGGTTTGAAATATACTCAAGTATCAAAAGTAAATGTAATGCTAAAATATTCTTAAGTATCAAAAGTAAAAAAGTACAAATCAATTCAAATTCCTTATATTAAGCAAACCAGATGGTGACATTTTCTTATTTTTTTAATTTACGGATAGCCAGAAGCACACTCCAACACTCCAAAATCATTTACAAACGAAGCATTTGTGTTTAGTGAGTCTGCCAGATAAGAGGCAGTAGGGATGACCAGGGATGTTCTCTTGATGTCTGTGAATTGGACCATTTTCCTGTCCTGCTAAGCATTACATTTACATTTACATTTACGTCATTTAGCAGACGCTCTTATCCAGAGCGACTTACAAATTGGTGCATTCACCTTATAGCCAGTGGGATAACCACTTTACAATGTTTTTTTTTTTTTTTTTTTTTTTTTGGGGGGGGGGGGGGGGGGGTGGGTAGAAGGATTACTTTATCCTATCCCAGGTATTCCTTAAAGAGGTGGGGTTTCAAATGTCTCCGGAAGGTGGTGAGTGACTCCGCTGTCCTGGCGTCGTGAGGGAGCTTGTTCCACCATTGGGGTGCCAGAGCAGCGAACAGTTTTGACTGGGCTGAGCGGGAACTATGCTTCCGCAGAGGAAGGGGAGCCAGCAGGCCAGAGGTGGATGAACGCAATGCCCTCGTTTGGGTGTAGGGACTGATCAGAGCCTGAAGGTACGGAGGTGCCGTTCCCCTCACAGCTCCATAGGCAAGCACCATGGTCTTGTAACAGATGCGAGCTTCAACTGGAAGCCAGTGGAGTGTGCGGAGGAGCGGGGTGACGTGAGAAAACATGGGAAGGTTGAACACCAGACGGGCTGCGGCATTCTGGATGAGTTGTAGGGGTTTAATGGCACAGGCAGGGAGCCCAGCCAACAGCGAGTTGCAGTAATCCAGACGGGAGATGACAAGTGCCTGGATTAGGACCTGTGCCGCTTCCTGTGTAAGGCAGGGTCGTACTCTCCGAATGTTGTAGAGCATGAACCTACAGGATCGGGTCACCGACTTGATGTTAGCGGAGAACGACAGGGTGTTGTCCAGGGTCACGCCAAGGCTCTTCGCACTCTGGGAGGAGGACACAACGGAGTTGTCAACCGTGATGGCGAGATCATGGAACGGGCAGTCCTTCCCCGGGAGGAAGAGCAGCTCCGTCTTGCCAAGGTTCAGCTTGAGGTGGTGATCCGTCATCCATACTGATATGTCTGCCAGACATGCAGAGATGCGATTCGCCACCTGGTTATCAGAAGGGGGAAAGGAGAAGATTAGTTGTGTATCGTCAGCGTAGCAATGAGAGGCCATGTGAGGATATGACAGAGCCAAGTGACTTGGTGTATAGCGAGAATAGGAGAGGGCCTAGAACTGAGCCCTGGGGGACAGTTAGAAATGTAACGAGTACTTTTGGGTATCAGGGAAAATGTATGGAGTAAAAAGTACATTATTTTATTTTGGAATGTAGTGGAGTAAAAGTAAAAGTTGTCAAAAATATAAATAGTAAAGTACAGAATCCAAAAAAACTACTTAAGTAGTACTTTTAAGTATTTCTACTTATTTACTTTACACCACTGCAACCACAGTCAACCCAGATATGACAGATAGGCTGTAGATCCCACTGACGACTGAGATGTCATTGAAACCAGTGCCAGGCAGCATCACATCAGTACCATATCCTCAATGTAATGGAAACATTCTGACCACACAGTGTATCTAAATCATCCATTTAAACAAGAGAACACAGGGATTTCCATCATCACCATATTTCATTAATCCTGCTGTAAACCTGCGCATGGATCTGTATGAGCTTGAATTGTGTGTTGTGTGAGACGGAGAGAGTGTGTGGTATGTGTATGACTGGCCCTATGCCTGTGCTCGTTTGAGAGCTCTGTCTGTCAGTGTGGGTCTGAGTCCGGTCTGTCTGTCTCTTTGCTTCAGGTGGACTAACTCAGACAGCACAACGTCTAAGTAAGTGCTCTACGTGTCTGTACATGTTGGTTTGGGAGCGTAATGTGTTTGCACTTTATATGTATTGACAAGATGTTTGATTACCTTATTGCTTCTGTGCCTTGGCCATCATCCCAGTAAACATGCTCACAGTCGCAAATTCATGTTCACAAATACCTATGCTCACAGTTTCTGTTTTATGCCAATCAATAGGCTTTATGAAATTTGTGGGGTATGATGATTAAAAAATACCGTATTTTAGCTTAGGAGATATTACGCTAACCTGATCCACCATCCTGACCGCTGGCCTCTCGTTTCGTTTCACTTCACTGAATCCGAGTGGCAAAACAGAATGGATCAGGATGGTTGAACAAGGCTAATATTATTCCTCCAGGTTTTACCTTCTACTACCGTAACTGTAATTACCTGGCCCATACATCAGTCTCACCCTGTTTCCTTCTCAAGAGTTGATCAAAGAGGTCTCAGTCGTCATATCAAACCAGTAAGAATGGGTATCACTATGTCTGAGTAAGTGTGTATTTCTCCTCCTCTAATATCTCTTTCCGTTCCCCTCTCCCTCTCCTCCTCCTCCTCCTGTTCAATAGGGTATTTGGGTTTGTAGCCAAGAAGCCAGGCAGCGTGGCAGAGAACATGTGTCATCTGTTTGCCGAGCTCGACCCGGAGCAGCCTGCCTCAGCCATCGTTAACTTCATCAACAAGGTGATGTTAGGGCCGCAGCGCAGGTAGAGAGACAGAGAAGGACCAAGCCAAGGACCTGTCACCGCAACAACACTGTTACAACTCCTAAAGAGAGTCAGGAGGCTACAGAAACGCTTTACAGACCCACAAAGCACCAGTGGTGGTGGCCTCTTTTTCAAAGACTGAGTTTTGACCCAAAAGTCTCAACATTTCAAACATGACTGCCATTTTGAATGATAATCTAAATGTAATCGTTGTTTATATTTCTAATGTCTATAATGCCGCCATTGATAGTTGCCTTCAAGTTACCAAAGCTTTGTTGTCACTTGTTAGTCAGTTATCTAAGGTATCAATAAGTAGCCTAGCCTACCAAAGGTCTTGCCTCAACCCTGTCACTCTCCCTTCGACAATCATAAGAGTAAGTCAAACTAAAATGTGCAAGCAACAGAGTGAATGTGGTTAGGGTATCAATGTGTGTGGAGGCTAGGGGTTAGGGCACAGATATAGGGGTTAGGGCACAGATATGGTAAAGTATGTGGAGGCTAGGGGTTAGGGCACATATATGGTAGTATGTGGAGGCTAGGGGTTAGGGCACAGATATGGTAGTATGTGGAGGCTAGGGGTTAGGGCACAGATATGGTAAAGTATGTGGAGGCTAGGGGTTAGGGCACATATATGGTAGTATGTGGAGGCTAGGGGTTAGGGCACAGATATGGTAGTATGTGGAGGCTAGGGGTTAGGGCACAGATATGGTAGTATGTGGAGGCTAGGGGTTAGGGCACAGATATGGTAGTATGTGGAGGCTAGGGGTTAGGGCACAGATATGGTAATGTATGTGGAGGCTAGGGGTTAGGGCACAGATATGGTAGTGTGGTGGTGGCTAGGGGTTAGGGCACAGATATGGTAAAGTATGTGGAGGCTAGGGGTTAGGGCACATATATGGTAAAGTATGTGGAGGCTAGGGGTTAGGGCACAGATATGGTAGTATGTGGAGGCTAGGGGTTAGGGCACATATATGGTAGTGTGGTGGTGGCTAGGGGTTAGGGCACAGATATGGTAGTATGTGGAGGCTAGGGGTTAGGGCACAGATATGGTAATGTATGTGGAGGCTAGGGGTTAGGGCACAGATATGGTAGTGTGGTGGTGGCTAGGGGTTAGGGCACAGATATGGTAATGTATGTGGAGGCTAGGGGTTAGGGCACATATATGGTAATGTATGTGGAGGCTAGGGGTTAGGGCACATATATGGTAGTATGTGGAGGCTAGGGGTTAGGGCACATATATGGTAATGTATGTGGAGGCTAGGGGTTAGGGCACATATATGGTAAAGTATGTGGAGGCTAGGGGTTAGGGCACATATATGGTAATGTATGTGGAGGCTAGGGGTTAGGGCACATATATGGTAGTATGTGGAGGCTAGGGGTTAGGGCACAGATATGGTAGTGTGGTGGTGGCTAGGGGTTAGGGCACAGATATGGTAGTGTGGTGGAGGCTAGGGGTTAGGGCACAGATATGGTAATGTATGTGGAGGCTAGGGGTTAGGGCACAGATATGGCAAAGTATGTGGAGGCTAGGGGTTAGGGCACAGATATGGTAGTGTGGTGGAGGCTAGGGGTTAGGGCACATATATGGTAGTATGTGGAGGCTAGGGGTTAGGGCACATATATGGTAGTGTGGTGGTGGCTAGGGGTTAGGGCACAGATATGGTAGTGTGGTGGTGGCTAGGGGTTAGGGCACATACATGGTAGTGTGGTGGTGGCTAGGGGTTAGGGCACAGATATGGTAAAGTATGTGGAGGCTAGGGGTTAGGGCACATATATGGTAGTGTGGTGGTGGCTAGGGGTTAGGGCACATATATGGTAAAGTATGTGGAGGCTAGGGGTTAGGGCACAGATATGGTAATGTATGTGGAGGCTAGGGGTTAGGGCACAGATATGGTAATGTATGTGGAGGCTAGGGGTTAGGGCACAGATATGGTAGTGTGGTGGAGGCTAGGGGTTAGGGCACAGATATGGCAAGTACCAGAGATCATGGGGTATTGTATTCTCCAATGTATTGTATAACCACAGATTTTTTTGGTCAAGATATATACACAATATTAATATTGCTGCAAATAGTCATTTTGTTCTATTATACACATATTTTGTGGGTCAATTATCTAAACTATGAGGCAAATAATATTCCTTATTATATTGTATATTATTGAGAAATATATTCAAACATTTAAAACAAGACAAGGATGAGGTCCTGTCTTTGCCACAACATCAATGTAACGCTCACATATCTTTTTACCTGAATGACTTTATGTACAAAGTTCACACCAATCAGACAGTTGTCTAAGGTCCTATGTACTTAACCAAATACAAAGCACTCCTGTATTAAGCTTTAATAGTTCATATTTTTATGCTTCATGTATTTGTATTCTTAGTGTTTTGCATTGTTTTTGTAAGACAGAAAGACACTACTTTGTATGACAACGGTAATATATTGTGGTCTGTTTTCTTATTCATCTTTATATGTAGTAATATATTTTCTCACATGCAGCTAGGAAAGGGAAAGTCAAAAGGAAACATTTGTAAGGAAAATAATCTGTTATATGATATTTTTTAAGAAAGCTTTATATGCACAAATAAAAATAATAAAAGTTGTGGTACCAAATCTGACTTCTGCTCATTGGATTTACTATCACTAGGTTTCTAAACTGTACTCAAGAATTTAAAGCCTTGTGTATTTTGCTTAGAAACAAGTACTTTTCAAGAGCAAGAATCAGGACCGAAATCAAAAATGTCACACAGAGGCGACACACAGACAAGCTCTCATTAAAAAAAGTAACCATCTTTATTAGTTGACCATACCCTCATTTTTTCCCATTTTAGAATTTTGGCATTGAAAAATATATACATTTCCTCAATCACATCCACTAAAAGGCATGATTCAGTCATATTCCATCATACAAATCACTTTTTTTTTTTTTTTTTTTTTTTTTTTTTTACATCTCACCATCTGTTTTCACCTTTCACCTTTCACCTTTCTCCATTTTGCCTGGTCTCAGATCTGGTTGTGCTCTTGCCAACACATTGCTGTCATTGTCAAGCCACACAAGCTTATTGCTTTTTAACACTCACGAAATACCAAACTCTGAAACCAAATTTCAAGTCATTTCATCAGCTTATTATAAAGGTCTATGACAACAAGAGGCTGTGCTTTGGAATGTAAAATGACATTATGAAGATACCCAACACAATAGGACAGTGAGTGAGTTAATGACATTTTAGTCATGCTGACCTGGTTAATGTCATTACGGAGTTATTAAGTCCAGGTTGGACCTCCGGACAGAGGTCCATACACTGTGCTAGTGTGCTGCGTACTTGGCAAGACCATGCTGTTAGTAGGAATTTTTTTTACAATCATGTCAACAACGTTGTACTTCCGACATAAGGGTTGGATTTACTAGCTGATCATGCTCTAGCAAAACATTTGCAGTTTCCCCCATAATTAAAGGGCAGTAAAATGTACGATCCCATAAAAAACATGAACCTGCCTTTATGGACGTTACCGTCTTATATTATAACTCTTCTGTTTAATCTTGTACTGCTATAAATGCTTAGTAAATCAGGCTGTAAGTGGAAAAATGAGTTAAACCAGATTTCCCAAACAGAGTGTTATGACTTATATTAGTACCTCCTGACAGTAACTGTCCCTTATTAAAAGCAGAAAATAAATGACGTAGAGAAACATATCAAACAATAGCCCTATGTAGCATTTTTGAGGTGCAAATAAATTGTCTTAGGCACATCCCTCGACTAGTCTTGTCAAGTCCCAGATATAAATAGCAGGGAGCAAATCTCCCTTTTTGCGAAATAAAATGTCAATCACTTTATACATTCCTACTACGCCAAGTCCCTGAAATCACATGAACCCACACCAAAGGACACTTAAAATTTGAGCGGACGCTCTCAATGTTACAAATGCAAGGACTAACACAGCAGGATACACAGTTATAACTCAGTAGTAACGCCAGTAACTGTGCTCAAGCCAAGGATAACTAATTCCCACAGAAAATCAAGATCGTTGCAGCTTCAGCAGCCTGTAAATTAGTCATACCTTTGAATTTCAGCCAAATGCACAACAGCTAAATATAATTTACTGAGGAGCTGGTGTTTGTTGCATTTACGTAGGCAAGTGATGAAGCCTAATGATCCTGAAGTCAAAACAAATGCTTGGACTGAAATGATTGGGAATATTCCCTAGTTCTTGTGGCCTGGCTCCCAGCACCTTGGTCCCTGTGTCCCTGGCTGCTGGACTCTTGGCCTAACCACTGGCTGGTGGTGGGGGAGGCAGGGTTACTGCCACAGTCGGCGTGGGGGCTGGTGAACCGTGGAGTTTGAACCACAGTCAATGTAGCGGTAGGCTTCCAGGGTATTCTGGGCCGTGCGCATCATGTAGGAGGTTTTCACAGACGTCCTGGGAACAAAGAACACAGTTCTGATTAACAATTGTATAAAAAAAAACGAGTAAATATCATAAAGACAAAATGGCAAAAGGTAGAAATGGAAGTGATACGGTTTCACAATAAGGAGGTAGGATATACTTACTGCATGATAACCACGATATTGTGAACCTTGATGCTTGCCATGGTGCAGAAGGCACTGCAGGGTGGAAAGAGTGATTAGAACCTCTTCACAATCACAAATCTAACTTTGCCCCTACCTACATGTGCAAATTACCTCAATTACCTTGACTAACCTGTAACCTCGCACATTGACTCGGTACAGGTACCCCCTGTATATAGCCTCGTTATTTTATTTTGTTACTTTCGTTTATTTACGAAATATTTTTTTAAACTATATTTTCTTCAAACTGCATTGTTGGTTAAGGGCTTGTATTCAGCGCATGTGACAAATACATTTTGATTTGATATATTAACAATGACAGGACTTGAAACAAAAACAACTAAATACAGGTCCCTTTAACTTACTAAACATAGGAGGTGCTTCCACTGATCTGAACGCTGACTGTGAAATTCACCTGTAGTAAAAAAATATGTTTAAAAGAATCAAGACCAGAAGTCAACTGAAGTTTAGGCAGGAAATGCAAACAACAGGTATATTTGAAGCAAGCCAATCATTAAACTACGTAACATGGAATGAATGTGTCCCAAGTGATGGTTCACTGCGTCTGAGACTGCAGCAGGCCTTACCTGTCTCTGGCTCAGGGGCTGGATGGTGATGACATTATCTAGCTGCATGGTGCCTATGACTGTTTTCATATAGAGAACCTGGCAGCTTAGACTGTCCACCATCACCGTGAAGAAGTTGGAGTTGGTGAAGTTCAAGGAGCTCTGACAAACAGGACCGGTGAAAATGAACAGTCAGCAGAACACACCATAAACAGCAGGCACAGTTTGAGCCAAATGACCATCTTAAGTCCAACTAACAGAGTACATCTTCATGCGATTTATTGACTTACTGTCATATTTATGAGGACTTTAGCGTTGACGTGATCAAACTGTACGGTGACAGAGCGTATCCCATCATCCTCCACCACGACAGAGCGGGGGAAGAGGAAGAAGACCACCAGCGAGGAGGCCAGGAGACATAGCACCGCCGAGAGGACCACATACAGCTTCCTGTCAAACATAGCACTTCCTGTTTACTTTGACAATCAATGTTGCCCAAAGAACAAACTGTGTAGCAACCAAACATGACAGAATGTGATGGTTATGTATGTGACCAATCCAGTTATGAGCTGGTGAGAAAAAGGGTTAGCAGTAAAACTTACGTTCTCTGGGGCTGGAGTCTCTGGTCGTTGTAGGGAACCAGAGCCACCAGCTCATTGACCTGCTCTGAAGGACAATGACCACAGGAGAGAGACAAGTCAAATGGGAGAACACCATCATAATGATCCCTACCACATCAGTTCAGCAATCAATGCCCAGCCGACAGGAATCCAGACAGAAAATGCCTCACCTGAGGGGATGTGGCCAGTGCCTTGGCATGTTGGACAGGTAATACTGTCCCTGCCGGTAAACTCTACATAAGGGAACCGAGCAATGTCCTCCTGTCTGTCCAGTCCATCCAGCGAGTCATCATCATCCTCCCTCTGCCACCCTGTCCCAACCTCCGGGACGAGCAGAAGACTGCTGTCGCTTTCGCTTCGGGACCATTGAGTGCCCATGAGCTGGCTGGCAGATAATCAAGCCAGCCTTTTTTCAAAGGACAGACCCTGGGGCACAACAAGAAGATCACGCAGCAAAAAGTTGTTGAGTAAAGGGCAGGACATATTTATTCAGGCTAATAATCAACGTTTGGCAATTGTATTTAAAATGATTAGCCTACTGAGAAATCCCTGATCAAAGGAGATTGATGTTGGTTAGTCTCCATACTACAGACGGGTTGCCTCTCACAATATAAACAATGTTCCAGTGCTGTTGCCCTAGTTCTGGGATTTCCAGACTAGATAGATGTTGGCCAGTATGTCCGGCCTCAGGGCACATAATGTCCCAGGCACTCCTACTATACCCCATAGCACAGATATGGCAATCGGAATAGATGGCGTAGGGCGTGGCCTCTAAACGTCAAACGTGGAAGTATCTGGATAGGCTCATAGTTATGAACATAAAAAAATTAAGAACATAGCTATGAACACTATCACAATACAATGACTAGCTACACATTGGCTAGTAAAGTAGTCTGTCCAATAACAGCACAAGTAGCTAGCAGTTAGTTAGTCGAATCAAAACACAATAACAACAGCAAGCTTAGTGCCACTGCAGCTGAGACTGTGAGCTATCTTGCTAGCGCGGTAAAGTTACATAAGGTAACCAGCTAGCTAGCTTAGCTATCAAGCTGTTAGCTATCAAGCAAAGTTAGCTAGCTAGCTAGCTGTCAACGTTTACCAAGGTGCACAACCTGCACTAGGCTTGCGTCTTCAGACATAATAGTTGTCTTACCTATATATATTTGGTTGACGATATTTCTAAGAACATTCAGGCAAGGCTATAAAGTTATTGATCGTGTTGTTTTGCCGGTAGTTCGTGACACTCACGTTGCAGTTCGTTCTTGTGTTGGGGTGTATTCATTCCTCCAATTATTTAGCAAAACGTTTCTTAAACGAACGAAACGGGGCGGGACCTACCTGAATTTGTCCAATAGTTTTAGTTGGAAAACGGAACGTTTTGAATCTGTTTGGCCTAATGTTTCCACCCCGGTTGTTGTTGATGAGTTTGCGATTTGCTTCATTCTAGTGGGCGCTTGAAAAGGTTCTTAAAGATACAGTGCAACCCAGGTCGTAAGCCTACAGTTTTTATATTGGAAGAAGTTTGAGAAGTTTCCGTTTTGCACATCCCTACAAAAAATAATAATAATATTGAAATAAAGTAATGTACATCACAAGAGGTTGGTGGCACCTTAATTTGGGGTGGTATTGGTGGTACAGGCTGGTGGTAATGGCTGGAGTGGAGTTTGTGGAATGGTATCAAATACATTCCATTTGCTCCGTTCCGGCCATTATTGTGAGCTGTTCTCCCCTCAGCAGCCTCCTGTGATGTATATTCATAGACTAAATGTAGAGAGAAAGTGCATGATCCTTGGAAAATAAAGTATATTAAAGACAACACATATCCAACTAGTATTTACTGTTTTATTCAGACATTATAGTTAGAGTTATGCGATACATCTTCAACGTGTGTTGCATAAAGGCTTCAGCATACTAGGTTTGGTTTCCTTCTTGCAGAACTCGGCTAGGCGAAGTGAACATTGCGTTCTTATACTCCCTTAAAATACATTCGCTTGAAAAACAAAGAAAAGGCGGCATTACTGTTTGCCCCTCTTGAGACGCCATAGCAACAAGTACACTTCCTCAAAATACTGGGAAGCATGCTGTAAAACGTACATTTAGCAGACGCTCTTATCCAGAGCGACTTACAGTTAGTGAGTGCATACATTATATTTTTCATACTGGCCCCCCGTGGGAATCAAACCCACAACCCTGGCGTTGCAAACGCCATGCTCTACCAACTGAGCTACATCCCTGCCGGCCATTCCCTCCCCTACCCTGGACCAATTGTGCGCCGCCCCATGGGTCTCCCGGTCACGGCCGGCTACGACAGAGCCTGGATTCGAACCAGGATCTCTAGTGGCACAGCTAGCACTGCGATGCAGTGCCTTAGACCACTGCGCCACTTACCATATGCTTCCCAGTTGAAACAGTTTGTGCGAACTGTGCCGAACTGTTTCCATTGTATGCTTTGCAATTTTGTGACGTTTTTGTTAGTTTTGGTGTTCGGCAGCATTCAGCAGTTTTTTCCCTTCTGTTGGCACACACAATTTTTTATCTTGAGGTTTGTCGACGTTCAGTAGCCGAAGTCTACTCCCCTTCGCTGGTGATTGGTCAACATTAGAAATTCTTAAATTAAGTGTTTGTTGTCATTCAATGACAGACTAGTTTTCATGCAAATTTTTTCACTTGAGAAATACTGCACCAAACATCTTAGTTAGATGTAACATTTTGCCACAAAGACCTCCTCTACAGAAATTTCTAAATTAATTACATATTTCTTGAGTTATTTTAGATTTATTCAGACTATTTTGAGGACGTGTACTGGCTATGGCATCTCAAGAGGGACAAACAGTAACATTGTCGTTTTTTCCTCGTTTGTCAAGCAAAGGCATTTTAAGGGAGTATACGAGCAGACTTTGCCTAGCCAAGTTCTGCTAGGAGCAAAACGAACCTGCATGCGGATGCCTTAAGCTTTATAGTCCATTTGACATGGTCACTCCTCTTCATGCGTATGTCATGTTCAGTTCCTGTGTTCTCAGTAAAAGGCTTTGTCATCACAGAGGTGAAATGTTACTGGAAATGAGTGAAATTTTAAAAAAAAGGACACCAATTGTATTACTATTAGATTTTCTTCAGAATTCAGTTTGGGTGTGATGACAGCATGGCTATATTGCCGCTATGAGTAAAAGCCCTGTCTGCACAGAGAACAGAGTTGGCATGGCATAGGATACCTCTTCTCCATCATGCTATGTTACACAGACCTCATTTACAAAAAAACAAAGGAAGGTGTGTGTATGTGTGTGTGTGTGTGTGTGTGTGTGTGTGTGTATGTGTGTGTATGTGTGTGTGTGTGTGTGTGTGTATGTGTGTGTATATGTGTGTGTGTGTATGTATGTGTGTATGTGTATGTGTGTGTATGTGTGTGTTTGTGTGTGTGTGTGTGTGTATGTGTATGTGTGTGTGTGTGTGAACCAGAAGCCATGGTTTACAGGAAACATCCGCACTGAGCTAAAGGGTAGAGCTGCCGCTTTCAAGGAGCGGGACTCTAACCCGGACGCTTATAAGAAATCCCGCTGTGCCCTCAGACGAACCATCAAACAGGCAAAGAGTCAATACAGGACTAAGATTGAATCGTACTACACTGGCTCTGACGCTCGTCGGATGTGGCAGGGCTTGAAAACTATTACAGACTACAAAGGGAAGCACAGCCGCGAGCTGCCCAGTGACACAAGCCTACCAGACGAGCTAAACCACTTCTATGCTCGCTTCGAGGCAAGCAACACTGAAGCATGCATGAGAGCACCAGCTGTTACGGATGACTATGTGATCACGCTCTCCGTAGCCGATGTGAGTAAGACTTTTAAGCAGGTCAACATTCACAAGAACGCAGGGCCAGACGGATTACCAGGACGTGTACTCCGAGCATGTGCTGACCAACTGGCAAGTGTCTTCACTGACATTTTCAACATGTCCCTGACTGAGTCTGTAATACCAACATGTTTCAAGCAGACCACCATAGTCCCCGTGCCCAAGGACTCTAAGATAACCTGCCTGTAAGTCGCTCTGGATAAGAGCGTCTGCTAAATGACCAATTCATTCATTCAATTCATTCAATTCATAAATGACTACCGACCCGTAGCACTGACGTCTGTAGCCATGAAGTGCTTTGAAAGGCTGGTCATGGCTCACATCAACAGCATTATCCCAGAAACCCTAGACCCACTCCAATTTGCATACCGCCCCAACAGATCCACAGATGATGCAATCTCTATTGCACTCCACACTGCCCTTTCCCACCTGGACAAGAGGAACACCTATGTGAGAATGCTATTCATTGACTACAGCTCAGCATTCAACACCATAGTGCCCTCTAAGCTCATCACTAAGCTAAGGATCCTGGGACTAAACACCTTCCTCTGCAACTGGATCCTGGACTTCCCGACGGGCCGCCCCCAGGTGGTAAGGGTATGTAACAACACATCTGCCACACTGATCCTCAACACGGGGGCCCCTCAGGGGTGCGTGCTCAGTCCCCTCCTGTACTCCCTGTTCACCCATGACTGCATGGCCAGGCACGACTCCAACACCATCATTAAGTTTGCCGACGACACAACAGTGGTAGGCCTGATCACCGACAACGATGAGACAGCCTATAGGGAGGAGGTCAGAGACCTGGCCGTGTGGTGCCAGGACAACAACCTCTCCCTCAACGTGACCAAGACAAAAGAGATGATTGTGGACTACAGGAAAAAAAAGAGGACTGAGCACTCCCCCATTCTCATCGACGGGGCTGTAGTGGAACAGGTTGAGAGCTTCAAGTTCCTTGGTGTCCACATCACCAACGAACTATCATGGTCCAAACACACCAAGACAGTCGTGAAGAGGGCACGACAAAGCCTATTCCCCCTCAGGAGACTGAAAAGATTTGGCATGGGTCCTCAGATCCTCAAAAAATTCTACAACTGCACCATCGAGAGCATCCTGACTGGTTGCATCACCGCCTGGTATGGCAACTGCTTGGCCTCCGACCGCAAGGCACTACAGAGGGTAGTGCGTACGGCCCAGTACATTACTGGGGCCAAGCTTCCTGCCATCCAGGACCTCTATACCAGGCGGTGTCAGAGGAAGGCCCTCAAAATTGTCAAAGACTCCAGCCACCCTAGTCATAGACTGTTCTCTCTGCTACCGCACGGCAAGCGGTACCGGAGTGCCAAGTCTAGGTCCAAAAGACTTCTCAACAGCTTCTACCCCCAAGCCATAAGACTCCTGAACAGCTAATCATGGCTACCCGGACTATTTGCACTACCCCCCCACCCCATCCTTTTACGCTGCTGCTACTCTGTTAATTATTTATGCATAGTCACTTTAACTCTACCCACATGTACATATTACTTCAACTACCTCAACTAGCCGGTGCCCCCGCACACTGACTCTGCATCGGTATCCCCTTTATATATAGCCTCCCTACTGTTATTTAATTTTTTTTCTCAACACTTTTTTTTGTTGTTGTTTTATTCTTACTTAAAAAAAAAAAGAAATGCACTGTTGGTTAAGGGCTGTAAGTAAGCATTTCACTGTAATGTCTGCACCTGTTGTATTCGGCGCATGTGGCCAATAAAATTTGATTTGATTTGATTTGATGTGTGTGTATATGTCTACTGCTTCCTCACTGACATCTCCTGATGCACTGAGTCTCATCCTCAGCATAGCATTCTACCTCTGTAGGACAAAAAATATTGAATTGTGAAATACACCATATAAAAACAAACAGTTGACACAACTAAAAAACTGTTGTTAGTTTTTTTTTACCAACTAAGTCTCTTCAATCCAATCTTGTGGCTCAGCATCTCCACAATCAGATCCCACCGCTCTCCTCTGAGACTCCTCTCTCTCCGTAACGCATCTCTGATAATGAACACCAGCAGGTGAGACTGGGGAGAGGAGCAAGAAAATAAATAAAAAGTTAGAGATGTCCAACCCATGGATGTTTTTAGTGATGTGCCCTGAAATCAAGACAATGATTTCACTCTACTCACAAATGTCTTGCTCTGGAGCAGGTAAAAGTTGTACATATCTGCAGCCGGGTGTTTAGCCACAAAGCCAAAGGCCTTTGGGTGGGGTCGGGAGGACGGCACAGAAGGACACAGAGGAGAGGGGGCATGTGTACAGCATAAACTAGGGAACACAAGACGAAAGTGATAAAAAGCGAAAGCGAAAGGAAGATTATTGGAAGAGGGAGGATGGGGGAGTGTGCAGTTGTATTACACAACATAGAAACACGTAAACATGTAAGGGGCCCAATTTCTTCTGTAAACCAAGTGTACATGTCCTTTTTAGACTTCACAATGAAGCAGTTTCCCTCCATCTTCCCTTGGAGTTGGAGCCTTTCACCTTGGAGTTGGAGCCTCTTCCCTTGGAGTTGGACCCTACGCATTAAGCATTTGACGTCAGGCAGCATCTTTTTTTGGTGTAGTCCTTGATGTCAACGTCCACGGACATAGATTTTTGGTCTGGTCCGAAACAAATCTGAACCAATTACAGACGTCCACAGACATCCGATCCGGCCCAAATATAGACGTTCCGATTTGGTCTGGTCCGGCCCCGCCTTGATTTATGTATTTTCTACGTAATTCTGCTTACAGGGTAGGCTCTTACCTTGAAGTTGGACGCTAGGTTCTTCTTCCCTTGGAGTTGGACTCGGACCCTAGGTTCTCACCTTGGTTTTGTGCTCTAAAATGTCAATCCCGCTCATGGACAAAAACAAACACTTGCTCTTATTCTGCAGCTTTTCTGTCGACTCCGTGTCAGCCATCTAATGGAGGGCAAAGGACAGGGCCTTGCTCAACCACTGAAAATGAATATTTAAATCAATCTGATCTTTTGAAACACTGTTCATTGAAACCATGTTAGTTAAAGATGCTGATATAATTGCTTGTCTTTCATGTGCCTTGAAAAATGATAATATATTATCTACAAAATCCAGTGGTGTAAAGTACTTATGTAAAAATAATTTTAAGTACTACTTAAGTAGTTTTTGGGGGGTATCTGTACTTTACTATTTATATTTATGGCAACCTTTACTTCACTACATTCCTAATGAAAATAATGTACTTTTTACTCCATACATTTTCCCTGACACCCAAAAGTACTCGTTACATTTTGACAGGAAAATGGTCCAATTCACACACATCAAGAGAACATTCCTGGTCATCCCTATTGCCTCTTATCTGGCAGACTCACTAAACACACATGCTTTGTTTGTAAATTATGTCTGAGTGTTGGTGTGCCCCTGGCTATCCGTTAAAAAAAAGAGACAATTGTGCTGTCTGGTTTGCTTAATATAAGAAAGTTGAAATGATTTATACTTTTACTTTTGATACTTAAGTATATTTAAAACCAAATACTTTTAGACTTTCACTCAAGTAGTATTTTACTGGGTGACTTTCTATTAAGGTATCTTTATTTTTACTCAAGTATGACAATTGAGTACTTTTTCCACCACTGACAAACCAATCATACTTTGTCAAGTCATACAGTACTTCAATGACACACTAGTAATCTAACATTAGACAAAGAAAAATGCTTTGAACGGCTTCATCAACACGCCCCAGAAACTTACACACACCAAAAGTGCCAGTCACAGAGGGCAAAAACATTCACAAAATCAATTGAGATTTTTTTCCCCCCACCCTCAATAACAATAGCAGGGCAACTAATAGATATATTGCATTAGGACAAATATATTCATTGATTAGTATAACATTATGCATGCTGTTTTGACGTCAGTTATGTTTCAAACCTCTAAGTGTGCACTTTAACTGCTTTCATTATCACTGTCAGAGATATCCCTCATCTTTACTCTGGCTGTGCTCCTGGAACAACAGACAAAAGTAGAGTGTTTCAGGATATTACACCACTAAATCAACTGGTTCTCATGATCCCTGGCCATAAATGACGTGCAAAGCACCTTTACTCAATAACAAAACTCTTGTTAAATTTGTGATCTTACCCTTTTTAAATAACTCCACACTGTTGTAGTTGTTCAACTTCAGGTGGGGAGTTTGCTTTGCGTGTAAGGTCTAGGGAGGTAAACGACTAACCAAAATGAAATTCTCCCTCATTGCCATTCATCTTATATCCTTCAGTTCAGACGCTATCTGATGGTTTGCAGATATCGCTATTGCAGGCACTAACATCTCTCATGTCATTGGAGAAAAAAATAAACATTAGGAAAGAGTCATTCAGATCTTGTATTGTTACAGTGCACCACTTTATCAATGCCTCGTCTTACAATAGTAGATACAGACGGAATTAGAAGCAAATGACCTCAAGGCAAGCAACAATGGGGAGGTTTGGGGGAGAGGGGGTCACAGAAAGCCCAAAACAGACATAGGCCAGTGTGTGTAATTTATGGTGATATGCAGTAAAATAATTAAAATTTAGTTTGGAACATGAAAGCAACCGTATTTTCTTAAAGCACCTTTTATACATTACCTTGAATACAAGATGTCGCAAGAGTGCCTCAAATGAAATTTCACAGAATTCCAGAGATCTGACTTGATAGACATTGTTTGGATCTTACATTGACGATAATTGCATGCAGCAGACCTAACATTACCATTGCCCCCCAAGCTGTTAACAGCCTCTTTCCCTTTTCCAATTCATCTTTCAGTTAGTACTCTGGTTCTACAGTAGAACAGGGCTCTGTGATAACAAGTGAAGGGAGCATAAGGACTGGGATGATGATGACGTCTAAGAATCATTGACAGACATGTTCTCCACTTGGTTCTGGAGCTGGTCTCCACCTCCCTGCTTCTTCTTCTTCCCTCCATCCTGCTGCTTCTTCTGCTTCTTGGACATCTCCACGTCAATAGGGGCAGGCTTCACAAACTTCAACATCTCTGTCATACCTAAGAACATTTATAGAAGAGGAAAGAAAATTACATCCCCACACACAGCTTTCATGGCAATACTAGTCATCAAATACGCATAGAAACAACTATAAATCTAGGGACATTTAGTAAAATAAGTACTCTGTGAGAAAGACAACCTTTTATGACCGCCATCTTCCATGCATAGGGCACAAGTATTGCAGGCCCCTTCACAAAACCTGTTAAAAAGAATACTATGGCTCACCTGGAGGCATGAAGTTCCGGAGTACCTCTGGAATGATGACACCCTCTTCGGTCTGGTACGTCTCCAGGATAGCACACATTACACGTGTGGTGGCACACATGGTTGCGTTGAGCATGTGCACATAGTCAGCCTGAAGAACACAGGAAGTGTGGTTTTAAAACTGGTTCAAATATTCCATCTTACTATGACTTTTTGATTATGGAAGCAAATCCGGGGGGGGGGGGGGGGGGGGGGTGTATTCTATGTAAAGACTGGGTATTCTCACCTTGTCCATCATCTTTTTGGTCTGTCCGTAGCGGATACGCAGCCGACGGGCCTGGTAGTCTAAACAGTTGGAGCAGGAGACCAGCTCTCTGAAGGCTGCGGAGCCTGGGAACCAGGCCTCCAAGTCCAGCTTCTTACTGGCTGCATGGTTCAGAGCACCTGGGTTGGAGCAGACAGACACAGAGGCTCAGACATATAACTAGTAAGACATCCCAAAACAGCTTGCAAGGGAAATGTCTGTTATGTGTCACATAAATCACACAGGATACAAGGTCATTGTAATACCTTACAATGTGAAAGTTCTTATTAAAAACGGCAAGTTAACGTTTATGAGTGATGGTTAGTCAAAGGAATAGTGTAAGATTCTGGCAATTAAAAGGGATACGTAGAGATTCTGGCAATTAAAGGGATACGTAGAGATTCTGGCAATTAAAGGGATACGTAGAGATTCTGGCAATTAAAGGGATACGTAGAGATTCTGGCAATGAAGCCCTTCTCTACTTCCCAAGAATCAGATGAACTCGTGGATACCATAGGCTTCCGGTTATTACACTAAAGCTAGTTAGCATTGGCTCGTGAAACTACCTCCAACTTCCTTCATACTGGATGCAGAGACCTACACTTTTTATCCACGAGTTCATCTGACTCTGGTGAAGTAGAAAGGGCTTAATTGCCAAAATCCCAAAGTATCCCTTTAAAGGCCCAGTGCAGTCAAAAAACGTGATTTCCTTGTGTCTTTTCTATATTTACACACATTGAGGTTGGAATAATACTGTGAAATTGTGAGAATAATTATGCCTTATAGTGGAAGAGCTGTTTGAAAAGACTACCTGAAATTTCAGCCTGTTTTGGTGGGATGGAGCTTTGGCGGTAAATTAGTTTAGACCAATAAGAAAGAGTTTCAAACCTCTGCCAATAACAGCTAGGTTTCAGTTTTTCCGTCCCCACTCAGATCACTCCCAGACAGTCCTAGCAAAATTCTTGCTTGAGAAATTGCTCTTTGCTAAGAAGCTACTTTTGTTTCTTTTTGATCATTTTAATTGAAAACAATCACAGTAAGGTACTTAAATTGTTACCCAGAAATTATTTGATATTGAGATAAAAACAGCTGCATTGGACATTTAAGCCCTATTTTGCTTACCCGGAGTCAGATGGACTTATGGATACCAATGTATGGTTTGAACCCTAGGTATGGCCCGGCGTGCAGTTTGAAGTAAGTTGAACGCGGTTTCGCGAGCCAATGCTAAGTAGCTTTAGCACAATAACTGGAAGTCTATGGGAACAGCTAACATGTCATTGCACTAACGCTAGTAGCAACAATGCACCCACCCGCCCCCCTACCTTTGCCACCACTGCTGGAAACAATTCAGAGGAGAAACACTGGACTTCCAGTCATTGAGCTAACGCTAGTTAGCATTGGCGCACAAAACTACCCTCAACTCCCTTTAAACTGCACACAGAATCTCGCTCTATCCCTTTAACCTAACACAACTCGTATTTCAGAGCACACGGTAAGGTTTCAAATGACACCAAGACAGGATTTGTAGCAACTACAGCCTCATTGTTTTGTTGTCTTACAGAAACCCTGGGTAATTCCCAACTTCAATCAATTATTTCTCAATAATCATTTTGGACTCCAAAAGGTCTGCCAATCATCCTTCCTCCAAAAAGGACCTTTCTATGGATTTAATTTCAGGAAGATCCTAAACAAAAATATATTTTGGCCAACCGCGTATGGATTTGCCATACGCAATTGATCATTAAGCCTCTGTCCCAGAGAGGAAGAGACGTGTTGGGGAGGACTACCTGCAGGACCTACCTGAGACTATGTTGACGATGCGGTAGGGGATCCCTAGTGTCTGGTAGAACTCCTCAGCAGTCCCAATCATCTCATCCATCATCTCCCAGGACTTGTTGTCATGAGGAGAGGCAAAAACAAACTGCTCTATCTGGGGGGTGGGTTGGGGGGGGTTGATTAGCATTTCAAAATCATTAGCAAAGGCCCACCCACCCAAACAAACAATGACCTGTTCTGGAAAATGTGTATCGCTTGACATGATCAGTAAATTATCAATAATAACAGGACTTTATCCTTCTCCAATTAGGCCTATAAAATGCAAAGCACTATAACAAAGCTGAGGCCTTTTCTACACTGACCTTGACACACCCACCATGTCTACTTTGAGAAAATGTCCACTGACCTTCTCAAACTGGTGCACCCTGAAGATGCCTCGGGTGTCACGGCCGTGGGAACCCACTTCCTGTCTGAAGCAGGTGGAGAGGCCGGCGTAGCGCATGGGCAGGTCCTCTGGCTTCAGCCACTCGTCTCTCAGGAAGGCTGCGATGGGCTGCTCCGAGGTGGCAATCAGGTACTTCTCATCTATGGCCGTGTCCTCAGACTTCTCACTGCTCTTCCCAATCACCTGAGAGACAAGCAGGGAAGGCGGAGTGAATACATTACAAAAAACACCCACATATCAAAATTAACATCAAATCTACATATTTGTCTTAACATGCCCTATCCCGCAATAGGAATGGAAGGAGGATTTGTTTCAAATCCATCATACCTTGTAAAGTTCATCATCAAACTGGCTGAGCTGGGCCACCTCCTGCATGACCTCTTTCCTCATGAAGAAGGGGGTGTAGAGCATTTCGTAGTTCTTGCTGTGGAGCATCCGCAGAGCATAATTGATCAATGCCTGCTCCAGGAAAACCAGTGGCCCCTAAAACAGAAAAAGGGAACAGTCAGTAAAGATAACTATTAAGGATACACACCGAGTTGAATGGAATTACAGCGGGTATAAATCTGCCTGTGAGTATTGGCTCCATGTGACAGTGTGTAACTAAGAACATGCCTTGAGGAAGTAGCCACGGCTCCCAGCCACTATAGCTCCTTTCTCTCCGTCGTAGCCATCGATCATGACTACCAGGTCTACGTGGGAATACTTCTTCTGCACAGTACAGTCTCCCCAGGTGCGCTCAACTTTGTTATCAGCATCCTGGCAAGGAGAGATCGACAAGGTAAATTACAGAGTAGACAAGTAAACAACAGAGAGGCAAAACAAAATTCATTCATGAGACAGAGACAGTGGACAAAGGCATCAGAATTTGCATTTTCTCCCAGAGGCAATGTGTACTTTCATCCCCTTCCCTATTGCTGATAGAAATTCAAATTCCACAACACCCACCTCATCATTACTAATGGGCACAGATGGATGTAGGAGGTTCCCGATCTCTCGCAAGTATTGAAAGCGCTCCTCCTCCAGCTTTACCCTCTCACCGTCAGATTTCTGCACTGCCTCGTCCACAAGCAGACGGACCTTCTTGATCTGGGTGACCGTGAGGGGCTAGAAAAAGGGGGGGAAAGAGACATGAAACATACCCATGAGTATGGGACCCACAAGTCCAATAGAATCTGCCATAAAGCAGTCAACCAGCATATAGATGAACTGCTGGCTAGCGAGCTGACCTACCGATAGCGTGTCTGCAGTTAGGGCCTCCAAGTTCTGGGCGTCATCTGGGACAGAATCATCATCATCCCCAACTGGCTCCCTCTTCTGTAAACAGAAAAGGCACAGAACAGGGTGAATGGATAGAAATAAACTATCTGCACATAGAATAGAACATAATGCTTTCAGACTGATGGGGGGGAAACAGGTAGCCATGTAGGTTTTGTAAAGCCTATATTGTTCACCAGCAGTTTCACAGGATGTACCTTCATTTTCTCTCCAACTGTCTTGCTGCATAAATTCTTTGCCTTGTTGAGGTTGTCGGCAGTGAAACGACCTGGTGAGCATGGAAAGGGCAAGGGTCAGCGTCATATGCATGTCATGAATCAATATAAATGGTGTTTATGTCTTGCGCCTAGGTGTCACAAGTAGCTATAACGTTGACAGGCAACAATGAAGCGAGCCCGGTAACCGCTTAGAGGAGCGAGTTTTTGATGCATTTGCTATGGGGTATGTTGGATGGGGATTGCATCAGATTGTAGCTACAGTCAGTGTGAATAGGATGACGTAGCTAGCCATCGTTTGGCTTTTCCTCGATAGTTTAGCTACAAAACCATACATTGTTTTAGTTAACTAAATTAATGTTAGACAACAATGAACGACATATCAGGTATAACCTAACTAAAGATATGGAAAAGAAGATTGTTATTGGTTGTACGCCAAGTGGTTCGTTAACTAGCTACCTACTAGCTAACTAACGTAGCTAGATAGCTAACTGGCTATACATAACCATTTACATACCATCGGTGGCTAACTAGCTAGCTAACGCAGGCTACCAACTAGCTAGAGTTTAGCTGAGAATATCCAGGTAGCTATAGTGAATTATCTAAAAACGTGAACTGACGTATTATGCTTGAATTTCTTAATTGTTATCTGGGTGACTACAAGGTCGGCTTTATTTTAAGTACCTATAATAAGTGCATGAAGCTAGCAAGCCATGTGGATGGACACCACCATCCGATTCAATTAATGCTAACGTTAGTCGGAACTTACATTTTCTCCATTCTGTGTCTGCGTGTACTAGTTTATCCACAAGTGACACATCTTTGAACCTTTTCCTTTGAATTTCTCTGATTACTTCAGGATCACCGCCTTTATCGGTTCGAAATTGGTCTAAATCGAGCACCATGATGATTCCACGCTTTGGTGACTGTCAAAAACGGTACAGAGCAAAAAAAAACGCAAGCCGGTGTGAATAGTACCAGCAGCACAAACGATTACGTCACTTTGTTCTTCTTCTTCTTTGAGGTTTTAGGGCAGACTACAACCTATTGGTGTATTGCCGCCACCTATTGTACTGGGTAGTGAAACAATATTCCATTGCGGGAAGGTTGGGCCGATATCATACAAAATACAAGAAATCAGAAATCCATAAGAAAACATCCCACTCCTTCACAGTTAAAATCACATCCCTACACAGGCACAGATGCCTGTGAGGACAGAGCATTCATCGATGGTTTCCTTGTAATGCCTCTGCTAAAATCCCTGAGTCCCCCAAAAAATTTCAACCGCACTCCTATTTTCTCCTATTTTCACTCTGTTTGCGCTGTGCAGTTGATAACCAATGCAATAAACACTAAAAATGCCCCCTTCTTAACATGCAACATGTCAGGATCCCTCTGATGACAAGGAATATTCACTGGTGTCTCTACTCCTACTACCATTATTTCTTCAATGTCACTACTTCCACTCTTCTCACCGCCTCAGGATAGGAGACATGGTGGACAGCCCTTATTCTTCTTTGTGTGAATTTCCGGCAGACTAAACGTATTGCTGCCTTTCACAGGTCGGAGTGAGGATTGCACATTTGTCACCAAAAAAAAGGGAAAAGGGGAACATTTTAAATTGCACCACCATCTAACCCTGCACCTGCACACTACCCCAAAAACCAACCACCCCATCCCACTACTTTGGCCCTAAACGAGCCCTACGCCAGACCGTCGGCCTTGGAGGATGGAACTCCTTCTCTCAAAAATGCCTGTAGATCTTCTGCACAAAAAAAAACTGTAGCTCAGTTGGTAGAACATGGCGCTTGCAACGCCAGGGTTGTGGGTTCGATTCCCACGGGGGGCCAGTTTGAAAAATGTATGCACACATGACTAAGTCGCTTTGGATAAAAGCGTCTGCTAAATGGCATATTATTATTATTACTTGGCTTTCAAGGTAAACACTTTCGGTTGCTCAACTTGAAAATAATATATCTACTGTATATGGTATGACTCAGAATGGTTTTGACTGGATTCAATGTGGACAAGGCAAAATTGTTTCTCAATGCAAACCAAGGAACCAAATTTCACCATATTATTTTGGAACACACACCATGGGAAAATAATTTGGTTTCAGCAACGTTAAAGACCCAAACCTGCAAACATTCGAAGGCCTCAAGAATAGTGGTGTCAAGATTTTAGATTTGTCCAAATACCTTATATTTACTTTGCGATATGCAGTATTCCGTCCACTAAGAGAGGTTGAGGACATAACATTAGCACAAAAGACAATTAACCAGATTGACAGGAGGTTGTTTTTTGGTCTTACACATTTGACAATGTTCGGGAACTAGGTACATATGGTTACCTTGCACCACTACCAAACCTGCCACTTCTTCGTTTGGCTGATAATATGATCATCATTAGAGGGCCTCTTAGGCTTTGCTAACAGTATTATCATACTGAACATTCAAAACAATAGGTTAACTAATTTAAGTACGACGCTTACTTATGCTTGTAGGATTCTAGCTTGAAATATACTTATTCATGTTACCATATTAGAACTTATTGATTACTTTACATGTAAAATGAATGTATATGTTGGGGTCAATGGAGGGATAACAACTAGGTGTATGGAAAGTTACTGAGTGAGGAAGTGGGAGTGCAGAGTGCTTACATTCTGTTAAAACATGGTATTGTTAATTCCCATGGCTCCTATGGAGAGGGGCAAAGGGCAACAGTCTGGTTTCAGTCACTGATAAGGTAGGACAGCCGTGGAGTAAGGAGGAATGAGAAATTCGGGCCGAGGTCGGGTCAGTTGAAGTGACAAGGAACAGTTCTATTACACACCCACCACATAAGTTCCTGCCTAGCAAGAGAGACGTATTGTCTGTCTAGATGTGCAAGGAGTTGACTCCGCTTAATAGGAGGGTAAATAAATACTTGTGCTGGTGGAAACATGTCTTTGTCTTTTCAGCTGTTTGACCCATTGGGTGTATAAACTTGGTTTGAGCTTTACTAGTCGTCCGTGAGTTTTACTCTGTTTGTCAGAACCTAACATCCTTCATCAACAACGACTACAAGTGGGTAGAAACTGCCCTGTTGAACAGGCTGGACTCTCAGTTGGCAGAGTGCAACGTCCTCCGCTGCTGCTTCAAGGCCAGAGACTTCATCGCAGGTGAAGATCACCTTTCCAACATCAGGGACACGATATGGGTGTCCAAAGAGTTTCTTAAGAACGGCTGGTGCCTGGAGGCCTATATCCTGGCTCAGAGCAGGATGCTGGAGGAGCTCAGAGATGTTCTCATCATGGTGATCGTGGGGAAAGTCCACCATTACAGACTGAATAAACTTGGTTTGAGCTTTACTAGTCGTCCATGAGTTTTACTATGTTTGTCAGAACCTAACAGGTGGCGTTGTCAGCAGGATTCACCACGATTTACAGTCGAACTGGAGAGTCCGAATCAGTGGAGCAGGAGCCGGTACAAAAAACAAGGTAGTCACAGTTCCTACACCTGTTACCATTCATTTTGACATCTTGGGGAGATGAGAGTCGTAGGCTGAACAATAATAGAATACGGACCTAGAAAGCCTGAGCTTATTCGGAAGTCCCATTGTCTTACGACCGGTCGTAGATAAAGGGTAAGTCTCGAACAGGGTGGTCCCTGCGGAGGGTAAACCCAGAATGGGTAAGTCCCCAACAGGGTGGTCCCTGTGGAGGGTAAACCCAGAACGGGTAAGTCCCCAACAGGGTGGTCCCTGTGGAGGGTAAATCCTGAAAGGGTAAGTCCTGAACAGGGTGGTCCTGCGGAGGGTAAATCCCTAGTGGGGGGGTTTCTCGGCCAGACCCGTAAGGGGGGTGAAAGCACAGCCACAGTGGCCGTGAGGCCGTAGAGTGAGTTTGTGTATGGATAAATTGTCATGCTTGTGTACTCGTACGATAGGTTGTAGGAAAGTAGTCCAGGTTCTGGAGGGTGGCCCCCTCCATGGTTGGAAAAGTAAAAAATAATATTAGAACATTGTTTGAAAGTGATTTGTATGTATTAGCACGAGCAATAAGGAGAGAGGTTGGTTTATGCCCTATTGGGGTGGGGAACCGTGACAGATTTTGTGGAAATAGGAAGACAACTGTGAATAATTTTGGGAATATGTGTTGTCAACAACAGTGATATTTGAAGCGTGACACTGGTATAAGACATTAGGTCTCCCGTATTCTCCAGTAATGAATTGGCAGACACTTCCGTATTGGTTCTAATACAAGGTATCAGGTGCCGTAACCAATTAATAGGCACAAATACCATAACTACTCTCTGGGGAAGTGGGTATCCCTATCTTGGAAAATAGTTAGTAGAGGCCGTGTATTAGAGCCGTGAGTGAGGAAATCTAAACACCCTAGACACCGTTAAGAGAGGCACAGAAATAACCAACATTGAAATTGCATCTGTGGTTTCTGACACTCCCGTAAAGGGGGAATAGAGGAGGAAAACTATAGCAAAACCATTGATGCGCACAAGCATTCTACCAATTCGGCTGGAATATGGGATTATTTTTGCAAACGGGATCAAATCGGTCAGCATTTCCCTGCTAACGGGAAATTCCAATCTAATAAAGAATTCAGAGATGCTATTGTGAGTTGGCACAATAACATAAAATATACATCAAAAGCTCAATACACCAGCGTTTTGATGTCAGAGTTCTATCAACAGAAAAGCAAAACCGATAAAACCAAAATTAGTAGATGTACTCAGCATCAAAAAGACTGGGTATGTGAGTACATTGATAGAATGTGCACGTCTGCTTTGATGGTAGGTTTAAAACCTGTCAGCATAGAGAATACTAACGAAATGTACATTTTCTCCTCCCTATCTCTCCCTTTGAAATGTTTCCCGAGGCCGTTGTCTTGGGAGAGCAGTTAGTGAAATTATTCAGTTTTATAAATATAAAGGTACCCGGATCCGGCCGTAAAGGGAGCTCACAAATAAGTAAGGCCTGGCCATTTGTTTGTTTTTGCCCTACGATTTTTTCCACACACACCAGCACACCATTTATGAATATTTGTTAGTGGTGTTAATACCGGGTCTGATTTAATTGTGTGGGGTCTTTTAATTTGGTTTTAGTAGGTTTTTCATGGGTTAGAAAGGATGCACCTTAAAGGGCACACAAATGACATTTTCTGAAGTATCTATTGTCTGAATTTTGGGTTGTACACATGGAAGTTCTCCGGATAAGAAATGTACTGAGAAAGCCAATGTAAGTAAACCTGGTACACAGAATGTTTAAAATGTCTTTAAATAAGTAGTCTGAAGTACAGGGAAAGAAAGGGGAAAGAAAATACTTAATGGTGTTGAATGACCTCTGTCCTGACTTTCTGGTGAGATCATCCTCACTAGAAAGGCTAGAGACACTGGGTGAGATTTAAGTATAATATGAAGAAGTGGATTGCTGGTGTTGTTTTGGTTGTTTAGTTTTTGTCTTTGTTTCAATACAAATCTCACCAGATTGGGTCTGCTGTATGGTTCTCCCTAAGGGTTAGCCCTCTAACCTCTAACCTGACCCTGTAATTCTGCGGTGAGGTCGCCAATATGATAAGGGAGTATAAGACAATTTGCAAAATGGTTTCAACAGTGTGTTGTTATTCTCTTTGACGTTAGTCTTAGAAATTTTGTATTAAGAAAATTGGGAATGTATTAATTAGTCAAGCGGTGAATAATTTGTCTGGATTTCCCCTGTAGCTCAGTTGGTATAGCATGGCGCTTGCAACGCCAGGGTTGTGGGTTCGTTTCCCACGGGGGGCCAGTATGAAAAGTATGCTTTCACTAACTGTAAGTCACTCTGGATAAGAGCGTCTGCTAAATGACTAAAATGTAAATGATTTCCTGCATCAGAAATGCCTTAAACTGTTGTTCTGGTCTGTCCTCTCTCGAAGTTATGGTGATAGTGACTACAGACGGTATCTAGATGCATGGAAGGGACAATTCGACAGAGAACATTGTGAGCCTCACCCCCTCTAACCGGCTGAAGTAATGGCGACAATGGCA